TCATCTATCCATCTACCCACCCACCCATCCACTCATTTAATCATTCAAACAATATCTACTATACAAGCCTATACTCAGGCTACAATGGTGAGCAAAATGCTTATTAGGTGTAATAGATAGGTAAATAGGCAATGATAACAACTCTTTTTAATCAATATCCTTATCCTTTTATGTTCTAGCTCTTTCTTCTCTGTCTACAAAGAAGGATTCATCCTAAATAAGCTTTCCTCTTCCATTTCCTTCAATTACTTTTTCTCTTTTGTTCCTTGTACTGACTTTCTTTCAAGAATGTTCTATTTTTACTGCCTTTACTTCTAAAACACCCATTTACTTTTTTTTAACCTGAGATATAACTTACATACAGTAAAGTATACTAATCTTGCATATACAGCTTGATGAAAGCTGTTTATACTTGTATACTCCCATTTAACCACCACGTAGAGCAAAATGAAGAAGATTCCCACCATCCCAAAAGGTTCCCTCATGCCTGTTGCTTGTCAGTCCTACCACTTCAGAGAGGTGAACACTATTGTGATTAACATCTCCACTGATTAATTTTGCCTATTTTTGAGCTAAAATAAATGGATGCATTCAGTACATATTATTTTGTGTCTGACTCTTTCACTCATTTTGTTGCTTGTAAAAGCTCTTTCATTTTATTGCTGAAGTAGTCTGTGTATACCACATTTGTCCGTGTATACCACATTTATCTGTTCTGCTGTTAGTGGACATAGGGCTGTCTCCAGTTTTGGAGATTATGAGCAAAGCTGCTGTAAGCATTCTTGTACCTTTTGGTGAACAAATGTGCTAATTTCTCTTGAGTACACAACAGAGTGAAATTACTGAATCACAGAGTAGGTGCATGCCTAGTTATCATAGATGCTACCTGTTACCTCTTAACATTACAGTTCTCAGCATTGCTGTCCCTGAGAATTACCTGGGGAGCTCTGCAAATACAGTCATGTATCACAATGAAAGACTGCAAATAAGACAATGGTCCTATAATGAAGCTGACATCATAGTTATTGGAGTGTTGTAAGGTAGTGCATTATCCATGAGTTTGTGGTGATGCTGGTGTAGACAAACCTACTGCACTGCCAGTAGTATAAAAGTGTAGCACATACAGTTATGTAAATATATAATACTTTTTTTTTTTTTGAGTTGGAGTCTCACTCTGTCACCCAGACTGGAGTGCAGTGGCCGCTCCTGGCCACCGCAGCCTCGACCTGCTGGGCTCCGGCGATCCTTCCACCTCAGCCTTCCAAGTAGCTGGAACTACAGGTGCGCGCTACCATGCCTGGCTGATTTTTGATTTACCATAAAGATGAGGTTTCACCAAGTTGCCCAGGCGGGTCTTGAACCCGTGGGCTCAGGCAATCCTCTCACCTCAGCCTTCCAAGGCGCAGGATTACAGGCTGAGCCATCAAGCCCGGCTAGTACACAATACTTGATAATGACAATAAACAACCATGTCACTTAGCTACATAATTACTATACTATTTATTGTTACTTTAGAGTGTCCTCTTTTTACTTATGTATTAAAAAAAGTTAACTGAAAAATAGCCTCAGGCAGGTCTTTCAGAAGGTATTGCAGAAGAAGGCGTTGTTATCATAAGAGATGTGTGTTATTGCCCCTGAAGACCTTCCAGTGGGACAAGATGTGGAGGCGGAAGACAGTGAGATTGATGATCTTGATCCTATGTAGGCCTAAGCTAATGTGTGTGTTTGTGTCTTCGTTTTTTTAACAAAAATGTTTAAAAAGTAAAAACAAAATAAGTTACTTTAAACATAGAAAAAAGTTTATAGAATAAGGATATAAAGAAAGAAAATATTTTTGTATAGATGTACCATGTGTTTATGTTTTAAGCTGAGTGTTACTACAAAAGAGTTAACAAGTTAAAAATGTAAAAGTTTATAAAGTAAAAAGTAAACTAAAGTTAATTACTGAAGACAAATATTTTCAATAATTGTAGTGTAGCCTAAGTGTACAGTGTACAGTAGAGTCCAGTAATGTCCTAGCCTTCACATTCACTCACTACTCACTCACTAACTTGTCCAGACCAACTTCTAGACCAAGGACTGTCCACTCTCCCATATCAAGCTCCATTATGCTAAGTGCCTCATGCAGATGGACCATTTTTTATCTTCTATATCACACTTTTACCATACATTTTCTATGTTTAGATACACAATTACTTACCATGGTATTATAATTATCTATAGTATTCAGTACTGTAGGTTGTAGTCTGGACACAACAGGCTATACTACACAGCCTAGGTGTGTAGCAGTCTATACCATCTTGGTGTGTATAAGTCCGCTTGATGAGGTTTGTATGACACAACTGCCTGATGATGCATATCTCAGAACACAGTCCTTGTTAAGTGATGCGTGACTGTACTTTCAACTGCCTTCTGTATATTTTCTTTGATGTTTACTGCTAATGGTATACAATCAATAAATGTGAAAACAAGTTCTATTTCTCTCCCCTCTGAGTCAGCTCTAACTTTGAATTTCCAAGTTTTTATCAATGGCAATCAGATCTCTCAGTGTATCTTGCTTTTCTCCTTTTTCCTTCATTTTTACTGTTTTTCTCCCAGATCCAGGCCCTAGTTATTGCCCAATCAGAGCACCATAATGGCCTTCTCACTGCAGCCCCTGCATCATCCCTATCCTTTACAACGATGCCCACCACGATTCTCTGTATGCCACTGTGATGCTGCCCAGCAGAACTTTCAGTAGCTTCCTGTTTCCTGTCACCACCTGGCACCAAGGACTGTCCACTCTCCCATCTCAGACCTCCATCTGTTTCACCTTGATGTGAGCATCAAGCCAGACCACGCCTTACCAGCCACACATCTGCCCCTGTGCACCAGCCTTATAGGAGAAGCCATCCATACAGTAGGCAGTGGACCCTCAGAAGAGGGTGTCCTGTCCTAAAGGCCTCAGCCTTGTTCATGGCAGCAGTCCTGGACTGCTTCGCCTCCTCTTGTCTTGTCCTCTTCCTCTTCTGATCTGTCCTGGAATCCACCCAACACTTAGCCTTTCTTTCTCACTTTCAGTTCTTCACTTGCCCTCTGAGTCTAGGTGATGCCCAAAACTCTTTCAGACAATACTTTAAACTCATTCTCCATTTCTCCAGGCTTCTAGCAGTCCTGAGTGTCTCACCACCCAGCCCTCCAACCCTCAGAACCCTGACATGAATTGGCCTCCTTGGCTGGCTTCTTCGATCCTTCCCTGTCCTGGTGGTCATATTCTTTTCTGGTAGCTTCTCATTGCATTTGGCCTCATCATACTCTGTCTCTGGCTGCAATTAGCTGTGTGGTTGTCTTGTTTTTTTCCTACTATAAACTCCTTGGGAAGATATCTCAATCATCTTTGATCTCCCATCACCTCGGAGAGTGCCTAACACATAATAGGTCATCAGCAAATGTCTTTGAACAAATGAGTAAATACAAGTGGCCTCATATGATTCTAATTGATATTCCAGGCTCTGATAAGTTCTACAGTGAAAAAGCCTGTTTAATGCTGATTCACTTGGCAGTTTGGCAAATACATTTGATCACAGAAATTTTTTTTTTTAGTGAGTTTCAGAACCTGGTTAAGGAAATAATGCTTTAAAATCCTATGAGAATCTTAAACTATCGGGACAGAAGGTAAATTATGAGGGTTATTAGTTGAACTCTTTTCAGTGTACAAGTTTGATTGCCCTTTTGCTCTGTGACATAAATCAACATGGTATTTCTAGTTTCTTTCCCTTTCCCTTCCTCCTGCCCTCCCTTTCTTCCGCTCCATTTTTTTGGTTTGTATTGCTGCCTAGCCATATAAACTTTCTACTTGCTTTCTACTTTCTGTTCACCTTTATGGGAACAGACACGAGATGGGTGGAGATGGTAGGTAGGGGGGATGTTTATGAAGAGGACTCACCCCTGTTGCTTTCTGCTTAGTGTAGGCGTATTTGTCCCGTGTCAGTCTTTCAAAACGGTAGGTGGGTGCAAACGTGATTTCTTCCTCCTCTGAAACAGAGAGACCTGGTTTCCACTTTGATTCCCCAAGCTCTCATCTAGTTGAGATTCCCTCTCTCTCAGCTATCATCCTTCCTCTGGTAAGGATGTCAGGGGAAAGGGGCAATGGAAGGATAGCTGGAGAGGGTTCAAGAGAAGACTGTTGTTCTTACCAAAGTGCAGGAAAACCTTCTGTTCCTTCCTCTCTGTGAGCAGTTGGTCATGGGCCAGGAGATCTGCATATTGCTGCTGCTTGATTTTCTGGATAATGGTTTCTGCCTCCTGGAAGAAGGCCATGTGCGGGCCACTGGTGAGACGCCACAGGCCCTAATCTGTGCCTGGCAAACTGTGGGGCTGTGGCTGGGCAAGTGGATGAAGCAGGTGGCAGAGTGATAGTGAGAAAGGGTGGCCATGACAGTTACATGGGAACTGGGCGTGAGCAGAGGGAAACTGTAAGGAAAGGCTGAGGTTCTGTAATAGGAACAGCGTCGAGTCCCTGAGGGGAGTGGCCGCCTTGGTCCAGCTCAGTTTGTGCATCTCCATGACCATCTGCCCTGAGCTGACTCAGAGGAACCTCTGTCTTATGCAGCCTCAGCCCCAACACCAGGCAGGCAGCCCCTTAGCCCCTTACCCAGGTGGGCAGCTCCACACGGTAGTTGAGATCCCCAAGCCAGAAGAGGTGGGTGAAACGGTGAGTGATGTTGAAGGGACTCAGTTTCTTGTCTCCCAGGGCCAGGAACCGGAGAATGTTCATATAGTTTTGGTTTCGCCTAACGCAAGGAAAAATCGACCATCTGACATGGGGTCACTGATTCCTTAGCCTGCTATGGCAGGAAGCCACTCTGTTATGACAGGTGCGGGGAAGCAAGACTTAGCCCTCCTGGCCTGCTGCAGCGGAAGACCTTACCACGCGATTGGGGCACAGCTGGGATGCAAAGAACCTTTAAGATCGAACTAGGAACACAGAAGACAGGGGCCCCAGTGGCGCAGAATCTGCTCGGCAGGGAATTGCAATAGTGACTATTTTAGACAGCTGTCTTCGTGACTGAGCCACCGAAAGGCAAAATGGGCTTTGGTGTATAAAGATGCTCCAGATGAGGTCTTCCCTTTAGAAATGGAGTGGCATTTAGGGGTCTATTGGATTAACAACACAAGGAAATGTCTTTTCCGACCTTTGGACAAAATTCATCCACACATGAGGTCACTATTGTGCTGAAATTGCCTTTCATGAGACCATAGAGAGCCCTTAAAGGCTGGCAAGACACCCACAAAGTCCCAGGCAAGGGCTGAGCCAGTAATTTTGGTATTTAGGGGTGTGAGGTCTGTGGATAAATAACCCAAACACGGACTCCTGGGAGAACAAGCTCCATTACCTGAGTTTCTTTTCACTTCCCGAAGTCAAGTGGCTGTTAACAAACCCCAAGGAGGTTCCATTGAACATGAATGACACTCCCACGGCTCCTTTGTTCCCTAAGAAGAGGAGGAAAAAGAAGAATAAAAAATCAAACAGGCAAACTTGTCAAGGGGCAGGAAATCAAGGTAAGGCAAAGAGTGAGAGAGGTAGGTAAGGGAGGAGTTGGCAAAAGAGGAAGGCAAAATGAGTCATTTGAGGTGGGAGACAGGCAGGGAGGGAGGACACCAGACAACACAGAGCAAGGCCAATGGCAGCAGCCTTGGGCTACTCAGCAGGGCAGAAGGTGACTGCTATAATCCACTCCTGGCATCTCTCTAAAGTGACCAGCATACCAAGTGGGCAAGGACCCTCAAAAGCAGCCAGAAGCCTTGGGAAGAAGACTCAAAAGGAAATGCCCCAGTTTGGGTAGGTTGACCTCCCTCCCAGCTAGCTCAAGTTTCCCGGTGAGACCAAAAACCCACATAAAGATCACACTGCCTTCTGCCAACATTTTGATCTGTACTAGACTAGTGGTTCTCAAAGCATGTTCTCTGGACCAGCTGCAGGATTTTGTTGGAAGGGCAAATTCATAGACCCTACCCCAGAACCACTCAATCAGAAAATCAGCAGTGGGACCCAGTAATCTGTGTTTGACAAGCCCTCCAAGTCACAGGTGGGCAAACGTTGGCCCACTGTCAGCTAAAGATGGTTTTTACATTTTTAAATGGTTGGGGGGAAAATAAAAAGAAAAATGTTTTGTGACACATTAAAATAGGAAATGCAAATTTTAGTGCTCATAAAGAACATTTTATGGGAACACGGTTGTACTCATTCATTGAGGTCTTGTCTGTGACTGTTTACAGGTTATACCAACAAAGACTTCATGACCCACAGAGCCAGAAATATTCACCATCTGCCCTTTTATGGAAACCGTTTGCTGACCACTGCTCTAGGTGATTCTGACGCCTACTGAATTTGAGAACTGCTCTGTTCAATACAGCAGTCACAGGTTATGTGTGACCATCAAACACCTGCAACGCAACTGGTCTAAATGAACTGGGTTACAAGTATAAAATACACATTGGAATGTGGACTTGGTAAGAAACACAGAATGTAAAATACCTATTAATTTCTTACATTGAATACCTATTAAAATGATATTTTTGATGTATGAAGTACAATAAGACCTATTATTAAAATTTATTTCACTTGTTCTCTTTCATTTATTAATCTATTTCTGAGTCAAGGTCTTGCTCTGTCTCCCAGGCTAGAGTGCAGTGGTGTGATCATAGCTCACCACAGCCTCTGTCTCCTCAACTCATGCGATCCTCCTGCCTCAGACTTCCAAGTAGCTGGGACTACAGGCATGTGCCACCACACCCAGAGCATTTTACTTTTTGAGGGTCTTGCTCTGCCACCCAGGCTGACATGCAGTGGTGTGATCATAGCTCACTGCGGCCTTGAACCCCTGACTTCAATCAATCCTTCTATCTCAGCCTCCCAAAGTTCTTGGATTATAGGCATGAGCCACCATGCCTGGCCCCAATTTCTTAATATGAAAGCTTAAATTATTGATTGGTTTTCTGTTGCAATAGAAGCTTCGAGTATATTCTGCGCAGTAAGGCGGGGACCAATGGGAGAAGCTGGAAGCCCAGGAAGTGATGGAATCTGAACCCAGAACAGTTCCTGGGCAGCAGAAGGATGTGAGTGTAGCCGGGGATGGCATGTCAGCCCCACCCTTCCACTGTGACAGGAAGGAAGGGGACAGGTGGGGGTGAATGCGGACAGTTTGTGGTTTGTCAGAAGAAAAGCTGAGAGAGCTTTTCACATTCAATTTCAGCAATTCTTTTATTTCCTGTTATCTCCGGGACTCTGTCCGGTCCCAGACTCCAGCCCCCAAAATCTACTGGCCCTGCCCTCAACACCCTTGTGGCCCCTTGACGCCCCATGGCTCCTCAATGCCCTACAGCCTGTGTGTGTGAGACCACTCCACTTGAACCCACACACAGGCACTAGCACCTACGCACACACACTCAGACACACAAGCACACACCCACGCACTTACATACCTACACTCAAACAAACACACAAAACACATACCCATGGACTCACACAGACTCACAAAACAGACTGATACACACACACACTCACAAGCATATACTCATAGACATAGGGTGGTGCACACACATGGACTCACTTAAAACATGCATCCATAGACACACACACACACCCACATAGGCTCACTCACACACATACATGCGCTCATACACAAGCAGACTGACTCATATACACACTCACGACTCACACTCACATACATACACATAAACACACTCAAAAATACACATCCATAGACACACACACACGCATGCACTCACACACAGACTGACTCATACACACGCACACTACAGACTCACACACACAAACTCACACACACAAACTCACCCTCCCACTCAAATACATCTCATACACACTAACATACTCATACTCACTACAGATTCCCACACAGCTCCTATACCCATGCTCACATAGACACATAAACAGACTCAAAATCACACATCCATAGACATACACACACACATACACACAGAGGCTTGCACACTCACACTCGTGCATGCACTCACACACACAGACTGATTCACACACATGCTCACTGCAGACTCACACACACAGACTCACACTCACATACACCTCACACCCTCACACTCACACTTACAGACTCCCATGGACAGACCCCCTCTACCATGCTCACAAAGTCCTCCTGTCCTCTTTGAGCTCTCTGAAGCACCCTGATCCATCCCCACCTACTCACAACCACTATCAACGTTTCCAGCTCCATCCTGGGTGAACAGGGACCGAGATCGAGAGTTGACTGACTACAGCCTGTGTTTGCAAGCAAGGTCTTGCTGGAACACAGCCACTCCTACTCACTTTTGGGGTTGACTCTGGCTGATCTCATTTTACAAAGGCAGAGATGAGCAGTTGTGTATGGCCCACAAAGTCTAAAATATTTTCTATCTGGCCCTTTCCAGCAAGATTTTGTCAACCTCCGTTCTGGGTTCTTGCTACTCAAAGTGGGGTCCATGGACTGAACAGCAGCACTGATCTCACCTGGGAGCTTGTCAGAAACTTGGAATTTCAGGTTCTGTCCAAGACCCAAGTCAGAACCTGCATGTTAGATGGATCTCCAGAAGCACAGGTATACATTATGAGTGAGTTTTGGCCAGGAAGATCCACCATCCTGATTTGCCCAGGATTGACTGAGGGGATCCCAGGACAGCCTGGGAGGCACATGGATGTGTGATTTGAGGCAGAGGATACCAGTAAGACCAAAAACTGAAGAATGCGAGCTCCCCACCCTGCTCACCCAACGTGTTTGCGATGCCAGTCTTTACATTGTCCGTGCAGATGTGGCTGATCCGGTTCTCATGCTCAGGCTTGGCCAGCACCACAATGCGGATGTTCCAGAGTGTGTGGATGGCAATCTGGTAGGAAGACAATGTTGCAACACTCAGTTTGGGTGTGGGGTGTGAGCCCAGAGCACAGTGATTTCCACCCATTCCAGCCCGTGGTGTAGAGTACCTGTCTGTAATCCTAACCCTTTGGAGAACTCCAAAAGATGCCAGACAAATGAGACACTACATCTTAAAGATGAGAATCGGGGCTGACCAAGGGAAGAGGGAAGGCAGAGGACTCAGTGATTGTCAGTAACACCCCGCGGACCCCATTTTTTTCTGAATACTGGCACATCTCTCAGTGGGGAGACCACTGAGGTCCTAGCCCTGGCCTCTGAGATGCTCCCAGCTGAGTGAAACCCCTGTCCCAAGGCCCCACCCAGGGCACAGCCAGTTGCTCACTGTTTTAAAAGTCATGCTGGTGATTTCTTGCAGGGAGTGTTTGAGGATCTCCAGCCACTCCTTCTCTCCCAGGGGGTCCTCCTGGGTGCCGATCACATAAATGTCATGGGGGATGTAGTCGGCAGAGTCGTCCCGTGTCTTACCCTGCCCCTTGGAGAGAAACCAGGACGTGATCTTCTTGGGAGGGGGGGCGTTACCTTCAACAGCAAAACCCAACACCAAGTGAGTCAAAGGCACATCCAGTCACTGCCATCAGGAGAATTCAAAACAAAGAGTGGGAAACTGTGCGGGGAGGGGGGGAGGCGTACGTAGTCACACAAGAGCATCCAGGATAGTCACTTAAATTCAGACTTTAGATAGTTTTTAGAATAAATATGCGCCATGTAATAGCTGTTCAGCTGATGAATTTAGATTTAACTGGACATCTTCTGTCTACTTACCTATTTTTAGATGAATACTTACACTAAAATTTATTTAGTATAATTTGTGTTTAGTATAATATATATTTGTATTTATATCTTTAGTATTTATTGCTAGCTGTATACTTATACTAGGTAATTATTTAGTATAATTTATATTAGTATATTACATTTACATATTTATTATCTAAAATATATTAGTACAAAATACATACATAGTTTTTATTCACCATAATAAATACTTGGCATATATATATATATATATATATATATATATAGTATTTATTTCTAGCTAAACATCTATACTAAAAATTTTGTTGTTTAGATGAAGTTTAAATTTGACTGGGCTTCCTCTATCTGTCCACCTGCCTACCTAAGTATGTGTATGTGTTTCTGTGTGTGTGTTTTTCTGTGTGTGTGTGTGTGTGTGTGTGTGTGTGTTTTTCTGTGTGTGTGTGTGTGTGTGTGTGTGTGTGTGTGTATGTCTTAATAAATCTGGCAGCCCTACTTAGAGGGAGATTTTTTTTTTTTCAAGCCTGGGCCTCTTGGAGAGATGTCTAAGGTTGGCAGGGTGCCTGTGAACCTTTTCACCTGGGTATTCAGATTCTGTCTCTAAAATTTTCTCATGCAGACACGCAAAGTGACCCACTCCAGTTGCTCTTGGGATTCAACAGTCCCAGAGTTCATTTTTCTTACCCACTATTTCAGGAAAAGGGTGGAATGCCCCCAAAAAGAAGCTGTGTGAGTGGGTTGGGGACTGGGGCAAGGAGGATGGAGAGATGGGTGCCGATTCAGGGATGCCTGAGGCAACAAATCAGAACCAGAGGGTGTGGCTGGAGGGAGGGGACACATGGACCTACCCATGTTCCAGGTGCCGATGAAGATGGTAATCATGTCAGGCTCTGGCTGTTCCGAGTGCTTATTCTTCATCTGCTGCAGGAGCTGGCAGAAGCCTTCTCTCTTCTGGGGATTGAAGGGCAGACAGACTCAGAAAGGCCTCTGCCTCCCTGCACATTACACTTTGCAAAGGACTTGGTCAGCTTCAGGAAAACTGAGAGGAGCATAAATCAGTACGAACTTCCAGGACAGCAACCTGGAAATACGCGTCCAAAGTCATAAGCAAAGAGCGTCTCTGTGGCAGCCATTCCACCGTTACGATGTGACTATAAGAAAATAATCAGGAAATGCACAGAGACCCAGCCCTATCAAGGCCCTGCAGCACATGCAGAAAAAAATGGGAAACAACCTTAGCATCCAATCTTAGGGGAGTCTTTAAAAATTATATTATGGACCATCCATAAATTAGAGTGTCAAAGGATTTAACTAGTATTATCTGGAAAAACTTTGCCAACAAGAAATGGCCACAATATATTGTTAAGTATGGCAAACTAGTTGACAAAATAGTTTGAGTGGTATCATTGTGTTTTTATTTTAAAACACCTGGAAGGGCATGGTCCAAGGTTAACTAGAGGTAAAAGGGTGTTTTTATTTTAAACAATTACTTCTTTGTATTTGCTACTTTTTCACCAATGAGAATTGATTACTTATATAATAAAAGAAAATTTAAATTTAAGAAACTGAAAAGAGAGGAGCATATGAAGGCTGTCATAGTTGCCTAATATTTTCCACTTATTTTTCCAGGGCACACAGTGGGAAATCAAGCAGACTTGGCCTTCTCTCAGGCTGACTTCACATGAGGGTACACATGATCTCAGGTTGGACCATATGATGTGACCAGTGTTTGGCAGTTTCAAACCTACAAAGAGTAGCAATTTCATCTGGTTCAACCTAATAATTGCAAATCTCATTACGTCCTCTCTGAGGAAACCAGCTCACAAAGATATAATGATGGCTGTCTTTACTGTAACCTGCCTTTAGGTGTGTGTGGCTCAAGACTTGGTGCCTCAGTTTATCATTGTAACTCAATCCTTCTTAGTATGCAGCAATGGGGCAGTACTGGGTTTTGAACCTATGCTCACATGCACAGAATACTGCTTAGCCAGGTGGTTTTTTTCTATGCCTTTCACTACCTGTCCAGTCCCTCACTCCCTTGTTTCTCCCAGCCTCTTCCCTATCATTCCTGGCAGCTCTGGGTACCTGCAGACCTCCCACCATCCCACCCTTGCCACTTCACAGGTGGAAGTAGGAGGGGGATCCAGGCACTCCTGCACCAGGAGTCCTTGCCCCTTGGCCTTGACTGTGGAGCCCGCTATGAGGTGTGAGCCAGTCCCTGATACAACGGCCGCTCTTATTGTTCCTCGATCCATTTTTACTGCCTCAGGTGAACCGCACAGTAGAGGACAAATAGTGATGCCGTGATGATGAGTTTCAACCACAAATTTCTGAGGTGAAGGGTTAAATCACAGAGAACCCTGCAGAGGCTGTACAGAGACCCAACCTGGGTGTCTCCATTGGCCCACAACACCTCTTACCCTAGGAGCTAGTCCTAGGAGGGGCATCCCACTTCTGCAGAGTGGGGCAAAATATGCAAACAGAAGTCCTTAGGACAGAGGCTAGGTCAGGACTCAGATTTAAATCCTGGGTCATCCCCAAAGGGCTTCCACATCCACCCCAGAGAAGCTAAAAGTCTCCTGGCCAGGCCAGGGCTGAGTGAGATGCAGGTGACATAAACAATGTGCCCTCACGGCTGGGAGACAGCTGGGTAAAGCAGGAAGCATCCACACTCCCTAGTCAGCAGCTGTGACTGCTCTAATCCCGGCTGGCCTGGAACACAATCCTTAACCTGTCTGAGCTCAGCTTTCTCAGGTATGAAACTCATTGTTCTGAGACCTGAGTGATCTAAATGATGTGCACTCCCTGGCCCATAGTGAGCTTCAAAACACTGTGACCCCTCCTTCCCCTCTTGGCCCATCTTAGATATTTGTTGTCACTTACTTTGGAGTCAGCAAAAACATATTCCTTCCTCAGGATCTTCTCTTTCTCTGTTTCCACTAAAATCACCAACTTGTTCAGAAATTTCTGTGACTTGATGAGCTGCAGGACTTAAGAGGAGAGATTCATTTATTCATCCATCCACTCATTTAACCTGTAGATAGAATCTCCACTGTGTTCCAGGCACCTACCATCAACCCCTCTGACTTTCCCATCCCAGGGTGAGCCCTGAATTTGTGTCTGGTCTCCCAGATTCTTCTGCTCCTGGCTGCTCTTCTCAGGAGGGGCTCAAGCTTAGAAAGAGTAGTATCTGGAATAAGCAAGAGGTCACCTTGCCAGGGCAGAGAGCACATGATGGTCTGTGTTTTCATCTTTCTCCCGGCCTTCCTCCTTCCCTTCTTTTCGCTTCTTCCTCCTTCCTTTCCTTCCTTACTCTTCCTCTCTCCCTTCTTTTGCTTTGCTTGTAATTTATATCTAAATTTAATTTAAAATTTTTCTTTTTATCAACTATTAAAAGAGTCAAACTGTTTTATAAAGTTTTTACAAACAACAGTACCCCCAACCCTAACTTCCTCCCATGTTCTGCTAGAAGGAACCAATTTCCAGTTTCTTTTTTTTGTATGTTTGTTTTTTTGAGTTGGAGTCTTACTCTGTCACCTAGGCTGGAGTGTAGTGGCACGCTCCCGGCCACTGCAGCCTTGCCCTGCTGGGCTCTGGAGATCCTTCCGCCTCAGCCTTCCAAGTAGCCAGAGCTACAGGCGTGTGCTACCATGCCTGACTCATTTTTGATTTATTGTAGAGACGAGGTCTCGCCAAGTGGCCCGCGTGGGTCTTGAACCTGCAGGCTCAGGCAATCCGCTTGCCTTGGCCTCCCAAAGTGCTGGGATTACAGGCTGAGCCTCTGAGCCCAGCCAATTTCAAGTTTCTTAATGAATTCTTTTGGAATTTTACTCCATGTTTTAAAAATACGTACTTGGTTGCTACTTTCTGATATTTCAGTTTTAGATATTTCCTATTACATTTTTACTTTCCACTACAGAAGATGAAGGTTTAGCTTTCTTTCACACATACGGCCAATCTCCCCTCACTTCTCACCAATGCTTGATCTCAGTTACCCCATCATCCTCCCAATAATTATATAATAATTTTGGCCAGATAGGTATTCAGTGTTTGTTATTATGATTATAGAAATACTGTTGACAGACCAGTCCTGATTACTTTTCCTTTCTTTTTTTTTTTTTGAGTTGGAGTCTCACTCTGTCGGCTAGACTGGAGTGCAGTGGCCGCTCCCGGCCACCGCAGCCTCGACCTGCTAGGCTCTGGCGATACTTCCGCCTCAGCCTTCCAAGTAGCCGGAATTACAGGCATGCGCTACCACGCCCAGCTTATTTTTTGATTTGTTGTAGAGTTGAGGTCTCGCTGCCCAGGCGGGTCTCGAACCCATGGACTCAGGCAATCCATTCACCTCAGCCTCCCAAAGGCGCGGGATTACAGGCTGAGCCACCGAGCCCGGCATGCTTTTCCTTTCTTATACAACTTTTTGTTTTTCCTGGAGTTAATAATTGCCATGGTTTTTTATTCTTACTCTCCCATAATTCGTAACTCTCTTTTCCATGTGACTGAGCATTTTCATCAGTTTCATCATGCTGTAGGAGTCTTCCCCAGTCTTTTCCCATCAGTCTTTGGGCTGATGACCTCTAGGCCTGATGCAGAGCCTTTACCTTGAGACCTTCCTTCATCGTCTAGGAATCCATTCATATCTCTCTCTCACTTTGGATCCTGTTTCTTAGACCTCATGTCTTCCTCTTCTTGGTTTACACCCTCATTTTGGTAAAGGAGCATCTCTAGTAGTTTTCCAAGAAAGGGAAAATGAGTGATAAATGTGTAGAGGTTTTCCATGTCAGAAAATTCTACTCTCACTCTTAACTGACAGAACTGTAAATTTGAGAAAATTTTCCACAGGACTCCAGAGACCTTGATCCATCATCTCTAGTTTTCAGCTAGAGAAATAATGCTGTTGAGTCTTCTGTAGGCAGAAAAGAGTTAACATAGCAAGACTGTGACTGCTATCTTTTTTTTTTTTCCTTAAGTCAGAGTCTCACTCTGATGCTCAGGCTGGAGTGCAGTGGCACACTCACAGCAACTGCAGCCTTGACCTGCTGGGCTCAGGTGATCCTTCTGCTTCACCATTCCAAGTAGCTGGAACTACTTGGCATGCACCACCATGTCTGGCTAATTTTTTGATTTATTATAGAGATGAGGTCTCCCCAAGTTGCCCAGGCTGGTCTCAAACCCCTGGGCTCATATAATCCTCTCACTTCGGTCTCCCAAAGTTCTGGAATTACAGATGTGAGCCACTGCAACCAGCCTGAGACTGCTATCTTTAGAAGGACTTACTTGCAAGGCTGGCCTTTGGTTGGTAACTGGGAAATTCGATTTTGGGAAGGTTCCCACCATTCCTAGAACTGTTGAGTGGCTTGCTGAGCCTGCACTATTTGTACAAACAATATGGTTTGTGCTGAGCACCTATTTTTCCTTCTGGGACTCTGAAATCTGGATACCTGCCAGGCAGAGGTGTTATGTGACCAATCCCCAACTAAAAATCACATTTCACATCTATTGTCACAATGCATTGGAGGAGGAAATAAGTATCATATATGGCTCCAACTGGGAAAGCACTCTCAGAAACTTGTGCCTGGTTTTCCCCAGACTTTATCCCATGGGTCTTTTACCGTTGCTGATCTTATCTTATATCTTTTCAATTTAATAAATCACAGCTGCGAGTATGATCATATGCCGAGTCCTTTGAGTTCTCCTAGCAAATCATTGAAACTAGAGGTGATCTTGGGGGACCCCAACACAGTCTGTAATCTGTCTTTTGCTCTGGAAGTATTGAGGATCTTTGCTTTGAACCCTGTGTTGTGAGACCTCCCAGTATTGTGTGTGCCCCCGCCATTGTGCTGAACACTTGGGTCACTTTCAATCTGGAAACTCTTGTTCATTTCTGAGACTTTTCCCAGAATTCTTTCTTTAATGAATCTTCTCACTCCATCTCTCTGTTTTCTCTTTCTGACACTTGTTATTTGGGCATTGGGCCTCCTGAGCTGGTCTTCTAGTTTTAAATGTTGCCTCACCTACTTTTCATCACTTTGTCCTTTTGTTTTACCTCTTGGCACCATACAGAATGGCCCTGCCCTGATGCTATAAGCTCAATGCTGCAGGATTATAACAGCTTGTCATCCCCAATGTCCATGGACTCTGTTCCCTGAGATGTGCCTTCCTCACAGCTGCACTGGAAGCATAATGATAATGGGAGTGGTGCAGTTCCTGGATGCTTGGCACTACATGCTTTGAAGTTCACCAATCTAAGTCACTTGGCAGCCCTGCAGGATACTACTGTACTATCCCTATTTGATAGAAGAGCAAACTGAAGACCAGAGAGAAGGCACCAGACCAAGATCACAAGTGGCTGAATGGGAACCCAGGGCTGGACTTCTAACACCCCACTGTGCTATTGATGGGGTTCAGGACATACTACCCCAAAATATGGTCTCTTAGCATATTGCCTATTTTAAGCTGAAGGAATACAAGAGCAAGTTCAGGAAGAACTCCTTGACCTTCCTATGAAGCAGGTCGTAAGACTGTCTTATGAGAGATGTTCTTCCTGTACCCAGAGGACAGAGCATCCTTGTCTCCAAGGACACGGGTATACAAAGAAGACTCTGAATGCATAGGCCTTGCCAAGGTCCTCCCAGTTCCCTCCACTTAGCTCAACCTCTCTGTCTCCTCACATTCTTCCATGGTTCTTCACTCTTCTTCAGACCTGTCCTAGAAACACTCAGACTGAACCGCTTCTTTGGGTCTTCATTTCCTTGTGAGGGCTCCCATGGCAAGTAAAACTTACATGAAAGAAATCTACATGACCTTCTCTGGTTGATCTGCTTTTTGTGACAGGAGCTCTAGCCAGGAACTCAAAAGGGTGGAAGGAAAATAAAACTACCTCTATGTTTTTTCCCTCTCTGCTCCCTATACCTCCTGCAAGGACTGGTTCTTAGACTCCCCTCCCCTACTGCCCCAAAGTCAACCCTCAAACCTCAGGGGACTCAAGTGAGGAGGTGCATGGTGGGGCAAGCCCACAAGGGCCAAGCCTTTCCCTTGGACTCTACCTGGACACTCTGCCATGCCATCATGGGCACATGCATGAGCTCGTTACTCTTCATGACATCTCTATGGGAAATCTATTGTTATGATTATTTCTATTTTAAAGATGAGAAAATAGAGGCACAGAGAGGAGACTATGTAACTAGGCCAAAGTGACACAGCTGGATTAGAACCTGTGTAGACTACCCCCAGATGCTGTTGGTGTTCGTATCCTCTTTCCCCTTGTCGCTGATGAATATATAATCTCCCTTCCTGCCCTCTGAAGACCCAACCCTAGGAGATTCTAGGGGCAATGGACAACATAATTTGTGGGCTTGGCTAATAGGTCAAATATCTGCTATCTGAACAGACAGCTTAGAAGCAAGCTCTAGATGAGGGAAAGCCTGTGGCTCATTAGGACCCTAGGGACCCACGTGGGACACGGCAGTCGCCTATCTGCTGGTGCTTGTTTCAGAGCTGCTGGTGCTAGCCTAGGACAATCTCTGCAGGCCACTCTAACACATGGGCTAAATGACCCTGGTCACATGGTGCAGAATTGCAGCCCATGCAGCCCACAGGGCTTCTGCATGACAAGGCTCATGCAGTGGGATTTTTCTCAACTTTCCAACTCCAGTCATCAGTCACATTCTCCAACACAGAAACTGCCCCCGGAACATTCTATCTCAGCGGTCAGCATTCTAACATAGCCAGACAAGAGTCCTCTACTTTCCAGCAAGAAATTCAGCTCAGGGACTTGATATTCTTTTAATTTTTTTTTCTTTTGCCTGTAACCCCCCAAGAAAAATGTGTTTTATATGGTGGCCTCATATACATACATTTTTATGTGTGTATAATTGCAACACAAGCTTCATTTAAAAAGTCCCATGTGACTCCCCACCAGATGCTGTTATTCTCTACAAAACCTCTTTAATATTTTCCATTTTATCCTTTTTGCTCTTTCCTATTCCCATACTACTTTATTAAGAACAAAAGATACTGATCATGCCTGGAGTTACCAGATAAAATATAGGAGGCCCAGTTAAATTTGAATGTCAGAAGAACTGTGAATAATTGTTTTATATAAGTATGTCCTAAATATTGCATAAGACATACCTTTTTTTTTTTTTTTGAGATACGATCTGGCCCATCTCCCAGGCTGGGTGGTGTAATCATAACTCACTGTAGCCTCCAACTTCTGGACTCAAGTGATCCTCTGGCCTCAGCTTCCAGGGTAGCTAGGACTACAGGTATGTGCCACCATGCCTGGGTAATTTTTTTTTCCTTTTAAAATTTTTTTATTTTAAAGATGTGGGGTACAATTCAGTGACTAGTTTTTAAAAAAATTTTTTGTAGAGATGAGATTTCTCTATGTTGCTTGGACTTGTCTTGAACTCTTGGCCTCAGGTGATCCTTCCAACTTGGCTTTCCAAAGTGCTGGGATTAAAGGCATGAGTCACTGCATCTGAGACATACTTATACTAAAAAAACTCATTGTTTATCTGAAATTCAAATTTAACTATACCTCCTGTTATTTCTATTTGCTAAATGTGGCAACACTAGCCACGACCAACTAAATGGAATCTTGAGATTCCATTTCTGAATAATGATACTCATTTCTGAACAACGAAAAATGCTGTTGTAGCCAGAGATTTTGGCTTCATGGGGGTCTGAAAACCTGACATGGGATACAAACTGTGATGTGAAAATGGGGATCAATTTGAGGGGAGGGTATACAGCACTGAACAGGTTTCTCAGGGGAACCTATCCATCACTACTGCGTCGTCGCAAGAGTCCACACCTGTTGGCCATCAGCTGGAACAGGGGGTTGCTCAGGAAACTCTCAAACTTTCCTCAGCTGCTGCTGATCACCAGCCCCATGTGACTCCCCACCGGATGCTGGCATCCCCCTTGCCTCCTGACACCCTGCACAGCCTCTCTAACCTGGGCTTGGAACTGCTAGCCACTGCAGGGAACCCAATGCTGGGTGGAAACAATGAATCCGGTCCCCAGTCCCACTGTCCCCTCCCAGGCCTACTTCCTCCCTCCCTGAGAGGGGGTAACTCAAGGGCACTGAGGTCTAGCACTTAAATTCTTGCTGTAAGTTTTCCAAAGCCTCTCCATGTGCTTGAGATAAAATCTAAACTTCTCACCACACCCATGAGGTGAAGTCATCCCACATCCCCCACCTTCTAATACCACTCTTATCCCTCCTCCCAGAGCCTTTTCTGCTTTTCCCCAATGTTCCATCTGTGCCTGTCTCCCGGTGTTTGCACGTGCTTTTCCCCTGTCTGACCGGTTGCTCCTCAACCTTGAGGTCTTAGCCTACATACCCCTTCTTCAGAGGGGGCTTCCTGACTACCCTCCTCTTCCCAGTTAACCTGTTTTGTTTCCTTGGCAGTACTTATCAGTAGCTGGATCATCCATTGTTTTGATTTGTGTGTGTGTGTGTGTCAGGGTCTTGCTCTGTCACCCAGGTTGAAATGCAGTGGCACGATCATGGCTCGACCTCCTGGGCTCAAGCAATCCTCCCGCCTCAGCCTCCCAAGTAGCTAGGACTACAGGTATGTACCACTGTGTCTGGCTAATTTTTTGACTTTGTTGTAGAGATGAAGTCTCACTATGTTGCCCAGGCTGGTCTTGAATTCCCGGGCTCAAGCAAATCCTTCTGCCTCGGCCTCCCAACATGCTGGGATTACAGACAAGAGCACTGCACCTGAGTCTGATATATTTATCTGAGTTTCTGCCAGCCACTCCATGCACCAGAATATGTTATGTGTGGGCAGGGGCCTTATCAGTCCTGCTTGTCCTGAATCTCCAGTGTCCTGCCCACCGCAGCTTCTCCGTAAGCATTTGTTTTGTGTATAAGTTCCTATTCTATAGGTGAGTTGATTTGATGGTGCAAAATTCAAAACCTCAGCTGCTCAGAACCTGTTAATGATAATGCTGACCCTCAAAGGGCTTCTGTGTGCAGGACTCCATCCTAAGAAGCCTTACGTGGATTCATCATCTAATCATTATTATCCCCATTTTACAGATGAGAAAAGTGAGGCCCCAAGAGGATACATGACATGTTCAAGGTCATACTGCTGGCTAAGTGGCAGAGCTGGGAGGTGAATGCAGACAGCTTGGTTCCAGAGTCCAAGTTCTCTCATTTTAGTTTATGCTGTGCTAAAGAAGCAATCTGACAGTCAATAACACCTCATCTTGTACCAGGCACTGAGAGGTGACAGAATGCATCAGATTGACTCCTGATGGGGAAGAGAAGACACACACACACACACACACACACACACACACACACACACACACACACACACACACGCAAAACCACCACCAGGGCAGGCTGTGCCATGTGTGACCAGAGAGGTGTGAGCTCACTGCCTGGAGGTTCACAGGTCAGAGGCAGATATGCAGGGGAGCCCCCCCTCCCAGAGGTGAGCTTAGAGAATGGCAGGAATTCCACAGGCGGGGTGAGGGGCGACGTATGTCCCAGGAAGGGGCCCGCCCTCCACAAAGGGGTGGAATGGGTCTGGCGGGACAGCTTGCTCTTGACTGGTCATCCAGAAGGGCACCAGCAGAACAAGAGCACAACAGGTGTGAGGGCTCTTACTTTTTTTGTGGCTGTAGAACTTGTCCTCTGAACCATCTTTGGACTTCTTAATGATCAGTTTCCCAGACTCAACATCGACTTTGAGCTGCACTTTCTGAGGAATTCCCAGAGACTCAGACTTCACCTTTGAAGAGGAAGAGACACCATTCGTTGATTTTGTTTGGGCTTTTGCAATGCTGACCCGTGAGTCCCTTGTCTACATGGCTGAGTGACCCTTGGTTGGCATCCTGACTGGAACCTCAGGCTTCTATTTCCTGGTCTCCCTCACCCCAACATCATGCATGAACATGTCCATGAATTCTCCTGAGAATCACAACTTGCAGGGGAGCCCAACTCGTCCATTGTGTGCAGATGAGCTGTTCCGCCAACAGGTTTTATAGAGGAAACAGACGAACTGCTGGAAAAGGGTTTATTCACTGATTACTTTGACAATGCTCATTAATCTGACATTTACTTCTAGAAAAGATTCCAGTAGCAGATTTATATTTCCAGGCCTTATTATAATCACTAATTGAACATTTACTGATAATAATTAGAGAAAAAAAAAGGCAGTTGTCTAGGCATGCTCAGACAATGGAGATCCATCTTATTACATGACCTCCTGGGCTCAAGCGATCCTCTTGCCTCAGCCTCACCCAGGACTAGAAAGGACTTCAGAGTGGGGATTCGGTGGAGGGGGAGGGCGGTGGACAGGAGTGGCTTGTACTGTGTTTCTGAATGTGAGCCCAGTGCTGGGCTGGATGCACCAGAATCTTTGGGGATTGTTAAGAAAAACACATTTTTGGGTCCAAGCCTGGAGATCCTAGTCCAGTTACTCTGGGAGAAATCGCAGGAATTGCACGTTTTTTTCCCCCCGAATTCCCTTTACCTTTAGACACTACTTTGCAGCCTGTTTGGGGCTCCCATTTGACATCACTCATTGCCTCCAGTTTGAGAAGGACAGAGTTTACATAGCACCTTGGGCCAATGAGATGCTCTTCCCTTGAAGAGGGTTCCAGACACTCTGGGCACCTGTTCTAATGTCTAACTGCCATTCTTGGCCACTGGGGTTCTCACTCTTCCCCAGTCCAAGCCCAGAGTCCTGTTTCCACAGGGACCAGAACATCCCCCAGCCCCCAATGGTGGAGCAAGTCTAGGCTCCACTGCTCCATAGCCACTTACCTCGAAGGTGACTGGAGGAATGAGGGAACGCCGGTGGGAAGATTCTGGACCCTCGTGCAGCAAGGTCTTGATCTGTAGGCAGCAGTATTAGGGACAGAGGGTCAGAAGGCACACAGAGCCTGCAGACTTGGACTGAACAACTTTAGTGAAATGCAAAGGGGGACCAAAGAGAAGCCAAGAGAAGCTGCAGGATCCCCGCAAATACCTTATCTTCAATGGAGGACAGGTGACTTGTCAGCTGGCTGAGCTTGGATACCATGTTGATGGGGTTGGCCTCACCAGGCGCCTGGGACAGGAGGCAGAGAGCCAACAAACATAGCATCATTGAGCGTGGGCTGTTGAGAGGCACCACGCTGGGCACCCTCCACGCTGGCCACCTTTCTCATTGCATCCTCCCCACAGACCCACAGGCACTACTATTAGCACACTTGGCAGATGAGGACACCAGAGATATCTACAATCTTCTTAAAATTCACACAGCCAAAAAATAGATCTCCATTTCTTCTCTCTAAATTTGCCTCTCCCCCGGTGCTTCTCACATCACCCACTCAGTGGTCTAAACAAAACTCTAGGACCATTCTCAGTGGTTACCTTCTCTCCCTCCTCCGTCTCCTACACTGGTGTTCCTGTCCTACTTCCGCTGCTTAATACTCCAGTCTAGTGCCTCCCCACTGCTGGAATAAAATTATTCATACTTCATCCCCTGCCCTCTAAGGCTGTGTATGATCCAGACTCTCTCTGGGTTGGGAACCACTCATTCTCCTTCAGATCTGCCTTGAGTTATACTTTCTTGAGGAATCTTCAGAGACTGGATTTCCCCTGGGAGGGGCACTTCTTGTCATTCATGTCTCAGACCCACAGAGAGGTCTTCTTTGGCCACCCTCTCTAAAATAGCCACCAGGTCATCTCTATCAAGTCACCCTACTTGGTTCTGTATCAATCACCACAAGCTAAAGTTATCTCCTTCTTTATGTGTTCATTGTATGTCTCCCCTGTTAGAACTCAGGCTCCATGAGAATTGAGACCAAGAGTATTGTGTTCAGTACTGCAATCTTGGTGCTTGGAACAGCATCTGGGCAACAAAGACACTCAGAAAAGTTGTTCAGTGACTACATGGTGCCCAGAGAGCTGAAGGGTCCGAGATCATAGCACCAAGTCCTTGGTCTCTGGCACTTATTCACAAAACAAACATTTATGAAGCATCTATTCTACACCCAACCTGACCTGCTGCCAGGTACTAGAGATGCAAATTTAATAAGACACCATCCCTGCCCTCCAAAAGGAGACTGAGAAAATCAGACACATGTATGATTCACCTGAACATCAAGCAGAAAGAGACGAGGGTTGCCACCCATCAGATGATATCCTTTACCTCCTTCCTTACTTAAGATAGCAGTCAAGCTACACTTGTTTGTTTTTTCTTGAGTTGGATCTCACTCCATCGCCCATGCTGGAGGGCGGTGGCATGCTCACGGACACCCAGCATCGACCTGCTGGACTCAGGCAATCCTTCCGCCTCAGCCTTCCAAGTAACTGGAACTACAGGCACACGCCACCACACCCGGCTAATTTTTTTATTTTTTTGTAGAGATGAGGTCTCGCCAAGTTGCCTGGCTGGTCTCAAACCCATGGGCTCAGGCAATCCTCTCACCTCGCCCTCCCAAAGTGCAGGGATTATAGGAGTGAGCCAACACGCCTGGCCTAGTATACAACTTCCACCATCACCGCTGTCTCTTCTGTAACTATGATCAGTAGTGTCACATTATCAATAGCATTACCATCAGTACTATCAGGGTCATCCGCATCCGTCACTACCACCATCACTGGCATCAACACCACAGCAACAGCAACACCACCATCTCCACCCCTACCACCCCCACCCATCATCACCATCATGACTACCACCATCGCCACCATCACTGCAATCTCCTCCCACACATCCCCCCAGCACAACTCTCACCACCATCATCATTGCAGTTAATATTTGTCCGTGCACTCTCTGACTACTGTTCAGTTTTTCCCTTGCTCCTTAATAGAGCTCAGAATTCATCTATCATTTTGTCAATTCATCTATCGTTTTGTTCATCGTTTTGGCTTGAAGGAGTGGAGCTGAGACCACCAAAAAGGTCACAACAGAAAGGCTGCCTATTGGTTGAGAAGAAAGACTGGTCAGTAGATGGGACAGCTCAGGATCCCCTTGTTTTAGGGTTGTTTTCTCCTAAACAATTGAAATGATAGCATGGATGCAAGTCTCCTCATTTTCCAAGTGAAGATCACTTAGAATTCTACCCTGGGCTGTCACCATGCGGTTTTCGGCTAGTGTCTTCCCCTCTCTCTCTCTCTTTGGATTTGTGACTCTTGGGGAGGCCTAGCAAACTCTTATAAAGCATAAATGAAGTTATTGACAAATAGGGAGTCAGTCCTTGGAAAGAAAAGTATTAGAAAACTACTGGAGCTTTCCCTATATTTCTGCCTAATAATAATAGCAATACTTTGATGAGTTCTTACGATGAGCTGAACACATGTTAAATGTATTAACTCATCCTCAAGTGTCCTGATTCTTCCAATCTTTGTTTTGTGTATAGGGGAATAGAGTCGGAATGGTGAGTTGATGCCTAATAGAAACCTGAGGTTTGAATGCAGGGCTAGTCCAGTGTTTCTCAGCTGGTAGTGAATTTGATTGGGCAATGTCTGGAGACTTTACCAGTTGTCACAGCTTGAGAATGCTAATGATATCTAATGGGTAGAGGACAGGCTGTGTCCTACAATGCACATGATAGTCCTACACAACAAAGAGCAATATAGCCCAACATGTCATTAGCGTGGAGGTTGAGGGCAGACTTCACAGCTTACTTAGCCTGTTAGTCAGTGGAGTGATCTGAGTTCCCTGCCCCCCGTGGTTAGACATCAGCTGGCCCAATTTTTCTCTTTGCTTTTCAGTTGCACTTTTCAAAGTGGGATGTGGGCTCCAAGGAAGGCTGACCACTTCCCTTTCTTATATGACTCTCTTTTCTCAGTTGAGGCAGAGCCAGGTCTCCCCCAGCCCCAAGCCAGCAATCATTTTGATAACCTTACATTTTGCACTTCCTAGCAGTTCTCAGACAAACCCCACACAGGTATTATGGTGTCAAAGGGATCTGCATGTCCCCACCTTGTGTTGTCCACCTAAAGGAAGGGGTCTGATATTGGTGAGAGTCTACCAGGGTCAGATGTCTTACACACCCGATTTCACCTACTCCTTAACCTAAACCTGCAGTGTCGGATATTACTAACCCCATTTCACAGATAAGAAAACTAGGGATTGGTGAGGGTGAATCAGAATTTGAACTCCGATGTTTCTGATCCAGTGTTCTCTCCTCTCTTCCAGGCAACCTCAGAACTCCCTCCTTGATTTGTGAACTTCTGAAGACATATCAAGAACAACATATCTTTGCTTTTCTGTGAGACCCGGGGTCTCATAAGGGAGTGTGACAGCAAGAGCCACCCTCCACCCTGTTGCTGCTCCACCTGCCACCAAATGTGGACACTACCCTCCCCATGACCGCAGTTGGCCTGACTCTGGGAGCCTTCTCACTCTTCTGATCTACTCCAATATTTTGTTCAAACTACTGAATTCCAGTGCCTGGCAGGACTCCCATTTTGTCTAGATTTGGTTTCCCTTTCTTAGGAAATTAACCCATCATTCACTTTGAAGAAAGTCATTATTTTTTCTGAATTGCTAAAGTTGTATAAGTAGAACACAGATACATTTCCTCTAGTAAAAACAAAACAAAACAAAAAGCAAATAAACAAAAAACTCAAATGAACAATGGGCAAGCTCTAAGCCTCCGTTGGTTCAATTCCCTTCTCAGCCGATCCTGTCCCTTGCTTGTGGTAACCAAACGTCCCTTTGGGTCTAAATCCTTCTGGCCTGATTTCCTCTGGAGGCCAACATCAGAGTTTGTATATCATTCTGCTATTTGCTTTTTCACCCAAGAGTATGCCTTCGAGATCTTTCCACAGCAGTGCCCACACCTTAGAATAGAATTCTGCACCCACTTCCATTCACCATCTCAGTACATTTATGTGGTTTCCAGAGACTTTTCTCTTTTTTTTTTTGAGTTGGAGTCTTACTCCATCGCCCAGGCTGGAGTGCAGTGGCACGCTCACGGCCACCCCAGCGTCGACCTACTGGGCTCTGGCGATCCATCCTCCTCAGCCTTCCAAGTAGCTGGAACTACAGGCATGTACTACTACACCAGGCTAAGTTTTTTTTTTTTTTTTGTTGGAGAGACGAGGTCTTGCCAAGTTGCCTGGGTTTGTCTCGAACCTGCAGGCTCAGGCAATCCACTCGCCTCAGCCTCCCAAAGCGCTGGAATTACAGATTGAGCCACCAAGCCCAGTCAGAGACTTTTCTTTTAGAGACAAAGCTACAGTGACTCTGTCAACATCTCCTTGTGTAGGTGTCCTCCCTAAGATAGCTACCTACCTAGGAAATGCCCACTTGGAGGGTTCCTGGTGTTAATATTTCATATAAGTGTCCAAATTGCCTTTCAGAAAACCCATTTCCACTCCTAACAGGAGGAATGAACTCCTGTGAATGCCTCTGCTACCCCACATTAGCAATCAACCTTTTTGTAGTTGATAGGCAAGAAGTGATCTAGTTTGAATGTCATTTAGTGAGGTTGAAATACTTGTCATATCTACACTGGTTATTCCCTGTCCTCTTCAGTGAACAGCCTTGTTTATATCATTTCCCCATTCTTTTTTTTTTTTTTTTAGAAAGCAGGATTTATTAAGAGGAACAGAAAAGCTCCCACAGTGGGAGGGGACCTGAAGGGATTGCCCCATTTCCCCATTTTAAAAATCAGGTTGTTTTGATTTATTTGTAGGAGGCTTTTTTTTAAAAGTAATACTTTGTTCCCAATATTTGTTGCAAGTATTTCCTCCCAAAATACAGTTTTTTATTCTTTAACTTTTTAACACCTTGCTGATGACACCTTTTGTTACACAGATCTTTGCTTAATAGATAACACCACGTCCTCGGCCTCCTGCCAGGCCATGAGCAGGTATGGGGGTTGGGGAGAACTTCCATCTTGCCCTACCTGGGGCAAGAGGCAGGATCAAGAAATCAGGCACAACTTGTGTTTTTCTTTCCTTTTAGTTTCTGATGAGAAATAATGGGAACAAACCAGCTTGCCTCCCTATTTGACACAAATAAGTTTTGTCGATGGGCGCATCATTTGAAACCTCTGTTCTTCAAATCAAAATCTGGCAGCAGAAATGTGCCTTCCTGGGAAGGGTAGAATGCTCAGGATCTCACCCCCATCCCCACCCCAACATCCTAGCTTGTAGTTGCCCAGCGAACTTGGGGGAGCAGGGCCGGTGTTCCCTTCTTCCTTCTGATCCCTCAGGACTCTGGCTAACTCATCCCCCCTCCCTGGTTTATAAATCTTATCTTTCCATTCCCAAGACCCTTTACCTGAGGACGTGGACGGAGGCCAGGGGACAGTTGCTGGTCAAACAGTCTCTGCAGAGATTCCAGGGATGGGAGAGTCCGGACGACTTCACTGTAGGTGGGGGGAAGGCAGGTGAAGGTCAAGAATTAGTGGACACTGAGAAGAGGCTTCAAGGCCGTGTGGGCTCCAGCCGGAGATGAGGTCAACCCCGGATATGACAGCAGCAGGTAATCCTTCCCAGAAGGACAAGCCCGGGCAGAGATCAAGGCTTGCCAGCACTGGCCCACCTGCTCTGGACCCCCACCCTTTCCCGACCCACAACAAACTGGAGTTGTGATATGTGGTACTAGTTTTACCTGGGGTTTGATTTAGCCAAACTATGCTCTGTAGCCTGCAGATAATTGGAATCTAGAGTCACAAAACTACGTTAAAGTTACTTAGTAAACCATGGTTTGCAACCTTCCGTGCACACACACACACACACACACACACACAGGTGTTAAAAATGCAAATTCCTGGGCTCCAACCTGATTTAGTCTGGAATCTGCATTTTAAATATTGGGGCTTCCAGGTGGATTCTGATGCAAATCCTCTTCTAATAGCGGACGGAGATGGGGGTCCAGAGGGATTTTTCCATTGAAAAATCCATTGACAATTCCAGTACTAGGGCTTTATCAAAAACTCCTTTTTCCCCTTTTGTCTTTTTGTTTGTTTGTGCATTGTTTTAAGCATAGTTTTGAATTCTATTTTGTACTTATTATATCATCAAAAATGGTTCATGTTTTTACATATTTAACATTCTAATGGGCTCAAAATATTCTATCAAGTAAATATGCCAAAATCAATTGCTAGATATTTTGGTTATTTTGGGATATTTGCTATTATAAATAAAGGCTGTTCTGAACAGCTTTCTTCATATAGCTTTTCTTATTTTCAATTATGAAATTAGGATAACCAGAGATTATGGCTCCTGAGTGATGGTAGTGCCACTGGCATTTTCCAGATCTGCTCATCCAGTGTCTCCATACTGTACTTTCTTTGTCTCTCTCTATTAATGGGCGCAACTCCAATACTGATAAATAGATTTGCATATTCTTTAATTTCTAATACCACTAAATATTTTTCTACTGTTTATTTCTGGTTAATTTCTACTGTATTTCTCTTTGTATAAACTGTTTCAGTTCCTTTGCCAATTTTCCTTTGGAATTTTGTTAGTATTTTTATATTTTGGTATAAACTTATTGTTTTGCTTTTTTTAAATTAAATTAATTTTTTTTTTTTTTTTGAGTCAGAGTCTCATTCTGTCACTCAGGCTGGAGTGCAGTGGCAGCAGCCTCAACCCACTGGGCTCAGGTGATCCTTGCACCTCAGCCATCCAAGTAGCTGGAACCATAAGAGTATGCCACCATGCCCAGTTGATTTTTTAATTTTATTATAGAGACAAAGTCTCACTGGCAATCCTTTCGCCTCTGCCTCCCAAAGTGCTGGGATTCCAGGCATGAGCCACTATTCCTGGCTTGCTTTTTTATTTAATCTAGTCACCAAACTACTTTGAAATCAATACTTTGAATTTTTTTTTTCCATTATGTGAGTTTCATCCTAGGTGAGCTGGATTTTATTATAAAATTATATATACTTTTTTTTATATATACTTTTTAATTGTTTCATCTTTAATCTTTTCCTTGGTAATTTTTCATTTACCATAGTCAATAATCATAAGTATTTACTGGGGAACAATTATTTGCGTATTTTAAATTGCTTTCTAACTCTTTTAAAGATCATGTTACATATGAAGGATTTTTGTTGTTGTATATGTTTAATTCCTTATCTCATCTAGAATTTTAAAATTTTATTTATTTATTTATTTTTGAGTTAGAGTCTCACTCTGTCACCCAGGCTAGATTGCAGTGGCATGATCGTGACTCACCGCAGCCTCAACCTCCTGGACTCAGAGGATCCTTCCACCTCAGCCTCCTTAAGTAGCTGGGATTATGGGTATGCACCACCACACCTGGCTAATTTTTTAATTTTTTTATAGAGATGAGGTCTTACTATGTTGCCTAGGTTATAAACTCATGGGCTCAAGCATTTCTCCAGTCTCTACCTCCCAAAGTGCTGGAATTACAAGTATGAGCCACTGCACCAGGCCTAGAATTATTATTGTTATTATTTTTAAAATATGTGGTAGATCTAGGTTCATCTTTCTCTGTGTTACTCTTTAGTTTTACTTAACAGCAGTTGCTCTTTTTTTCATGTTTCTCTTGGGTTAGTCTATTATATGAGCTCTTCCTGAATATGATAAGATTTGTTTCCAGGCTCCATTTCATTCATTCAACTAAAAATCCAGACCTCTCCATGTATACTAGGCAAAAATTACAGTGTCAAGTAAGGCAGGTTAGCCAGTGTAGCTGAGACATAGACAAGTTTCTTGCAGACAGGTCTAAATTAAAATAGAGTAAGCTTTCAGACATCTTTCTTACCAGTACATGACCTTCACCTGACTGACCAGGCATATCAGACCTGATGACCTTGCGGGTTGAAATGTGGAAATACCGGTACAGTAAATCACAGAAACAATAGCTGTTTTTTCAAAAAGACATGATTTTTTTGGGGTTTTTTTTTTTTTTTTTTTGAGTTGGAGTCTCACTCTGTCACCCAGACTGGAGTGCAGTGGCTGCTCCCGGCCACCGCAGCCTCAACCTGCTGGGCTCTGGCGATCCTTCCACCTTAGCCTTCCAAGTAGCCAGAATTACAGGCATGCGCTACCACGCCCGGCTGATTTTTTGATTTATTGCAGAGATGAGGTCTCGCTGCCCAGGCGGGTCTCGAACCCGCGGGCTCAGGCAATCCACTCACCTCAGCCTCCCAAAGGTACAGGATTACAGGTTGAGCCACCGAGCCCGGCTAAGACATGATTTTTTTAAAGCCCAAACCTACTCAGGCAATAACTTTCATTGGTTAGAAGGTCCTTGTGACCTTAAAAAGTTGAGAGATGGTAATCAAAACTTGTGACTAGATACCTGCAGTCCTCTGGTCTTAGCTCATGGCTTACTGAATCATCACTATAAACTTATATAAAGCTTCTTGTCAAAGGCAAGCATGTGTCCCTTCTCTTAAGGCATCCATGCTCTCTCGTGAGTGTTTTTTTTCCCTTCTGATAAATCTTATACTATACGTTGGACTCGCTCTGAAATATTTTTCTGTGGCAAAGCCAAGAACCCATGGAACAGTACACCACATCCTACCTGGCAACACAAGGACAGTGTTTTAAATTTTCTGGCTTTGAAATGGTCATCTTTTGGGGGACCAAGTGGTGGGGGGTATCTGATAGGGGAGAAGAAGAGAAGTCCTGGCAGGCAGAGTTCTGGGTTTCCATCCCTCACTTCCCAAGAGCTGCTCTGTCCATCTGTTAACACAGTAGTATTTGGTTTAAATGATCATTTTATAAAACAATTCATGCTAAAATATTTTTCTAAAGTACTAATTCAGAACATGTTTTAACAGCAAATAGATCTCCCTCATTGTTCTCCTTTTACAAACGGTCATCTTAAAAATACAAATACACGCACACATACTGAATCTTTGGTATTTTCTAAGAATAATGCTGTTCTCCCCTGTATTTCTAACTGTTTAAAAACTTTTAGGAATTTGACTGGCTCCCAGACATGTCTGGAGTTGTTGATTAGGGTCAGAATGACCAATGACGCACAGGGACTGCACCAGAAGACTTAAGAACCAGCCTTATCATACAGAAAATATTTGTCCTGGAAAGTCACCAAGGGCAGGATCCCTGGAAAGCTTGCCCAACCTTGGGTCCCTAGTCGATGGGACCCATCCTGAAGGCAGACCTGCCACTCTAGGTTAGCGAAGACAGAGCTGTGATCCTCTGGTAGGTCTGGCCCTAGGGATAGCTGGGAAGAGCTTAAATCCCCTGCCTGGTTTTTCTGGACATCCCAGAGGAAGATCCACTTCCCCATGTGCTCTCTGCAAGTTAATTCACTTTCCCAAGATTCCCACTCAATTTCTGTCTGGTACATCAGTGTCTCTGAATTACAGACTCAGAAGGTATATTCTGATGCTTTGTTGTTTCCTTTATTTTTGCTTCCCTGATTTTCTGCCTCTTTTTCTTGTCTTGCTTTAGCAAAAATTTCTCGTATAGTATTAGAAAATCGAATGATAAAGAGCATCTCTTTTTCTTTTGTTACAAATTTTAACGGAATGATTATAATGCTTCCTTGTCAAAGGACACATTTGGCTTTTCATGGACACATTTGGCCTTATTAAGGAAGTAGCTTTCTATTCCTTTGTAAAATTAGAAATAAATTTAAAATTTTGTCTATTAGGGCATCCGTGCAAATGATTCTTTTATCTTTTAATCTACACTTCAACTAAGCATTTTCTTTTTATTGACTCATCTTTGGAATTATTTCTTAGATAAAGTCTCAGTTTTTCATGTCACTAAACTATGTTTGCTAGACTGTTACTGAAATAATATGTATCTATGTTAATATATGACAGGAGATAGTTTTATTTCAGGCTATTATCTTGATTAGGTTTTTGGATATGAATCATATTTTTCTTCAAGAATGAATTAGGTGGTTTTTGTCATTCAGGAATAATTTATATATTATGACCACTATTTGTTCCTTGAAAGTTTAAAAGAAGACATTTGTAATAATTTTTGGTTTTTATATTCTATGTAAAATATGTGTTCTGTTTAATTATAATTTGAAAATTTGTAGCCATGTAATTGTACACTCTCTTCTTTAGTGATTTGTAAATCATTAATGAAGATTATTAAATATCCTTCAACATTTCTAATGTTTAAAATTTTCCTAATCAACTGTTTTTTCTAATATATCTGCTTTTATTTTTTACCATTTTCCCTTGCTCATTTCTTTTCTGGTTCTTGTTATTGTTCATTTGTTTAACCATTTTTTTTTTTAAGATTCTATTTTATTCACTACTGTGTCTTTAGCTCCTAGAATAGTGCCTGACACGTAGTTGGTACACATTTTATCTTTGTTTATAAATATTGAATAAATTAATGTTTCAAGTACTTTGCTGGGCATTGGAAATATTAAGATGATTAGAGCATGAGCAATGATGTC